GGTGGCCCCACCCCGTGTGTCCCCCCCCCCCCCCTCTCGACTCTTCCTCTTCTTCACGTGGTCGCTCGACCTTTCGGCTCTCCAATTGCAAGGGCCAAGCTGGCCGACTCTTCTTCTTCTCGAGGTTCTACCGTCTCCCTCTTTACTGTGGCGATTATTGTCTCGTTGTTTGATTCGCTTACCAATGAGGCTGGTTGGTAGTTGTCTCATTCTCTTCTCTGCCTATAAAATAGCTTCTTAATGTACTGTTTTGGGTTGTTGAAATTTTTTTGAGAAAGAGAGGCTGGAGGAGTGTTTTTACTGTCTGAGGCTTTAGGAGGAGAAGTTCTGCCGAAATTTCTTCCTAGCTATATTCTTGTGCGCTGGGAGTTCAAAGCATTCTTGGGTTGTTGTTTTTTGAAGCTTTTAAGAAGAGAAGCTTTGCCGAAGTCCTCTCTAGACTAGATTCCTGTGTGCTGGGAGTTTGAATGATTTCTTATTTGCTGTTTCTCGAAGCTTTTAGGAAGAGGATTGTTATAGGAGTGGTTTTCTTGAATATGTCTTATAGTTTTTGTTTTAAGTCTACATTAAAAAAATATTCCCCTTCTTTCCTCTATTCTGCACTATTTCGAATGGCATCCAAACATATTTATTTTCTCTACTAAAGCATGTGGAAGCAAGATTTGGGCTTGTTCTGAAATTTAAGCATGAAATAGTTCCTAGAAAAATCAAAATGTAGCATGATATGGTTGCCTTCTTTTCTTTTTTATGCTCAAGTTACATGGAATGCATGTTATGGAAGTTTTAGTTGTTATTCTATGGAATACATGTTAGAAAGAAAATGCAAGGTTGAAGTTCCTTTTTTATACTTATCCAAGTGGATGTTGGAATTAGTTTCAACGCTGGATGACATGTTGGCTCTAAGGATTCATGCATACTTATATGTTTCCTGTTATTTATTCCTATTTGAGACATATGCTAGCACAATATTTTGAGATATCAGGTTCCAAGGGGAAATTTTCTCTGTTTTTGGCCCATTTGAAGGGCTCAGTTTTGGCTCTGTTAGATTGGAATTATTGATAAAAATATTCTCTGTTTTGTCCTTATGTTGGGCTCGGTTTGCCCATGTGATGGTTTGGTTTTGGCTTCATGTTAGCTGGAAATTGTTTTTTTTTTACCCATTTGGATAGGTTTGGTTTTTGGCTTCATTTTGTATCGAATACTAGCTGGGAAGTATAGCTCTGTTTTGCCTTTCTTGTCGGCTCGATTTGGCCTGCGAATTGGGCTCAATTTTTGCATAAGATTTGACTAATATGTTACCTGGAAATTGCATTTTGTTTTGACCCATTTGGATAGGTTTGGTTTTTGGCTTCATTTTGGATTGAATACTAGCTGGGAAGTATGGCTCTGTTTTGCCTTTCTTGTGGGCTCGATTTGGCCTGCGGATTGGACTCAATTTTTGCATAAGATTTGACTGATATACTCCTTTTGTTGAGCTTTGTTTATCTGTCATGACCTTTTTTTTTATTTGTGCTGCCCCTATGTTGCGCTCGGATTGCCCCTATGCTGGGCTCGGTTTGCCCATATGCTGGGCTCGGTTTTTTCTTATTTGGCTTGAATTTCTGCTAAAAATGCTGATTTGTTTTTCCCCACTTGGTGGGTGAGGTTTTGGCTTAAACTGTATTCTTTTCTCTAGTCTTTATATCGGGATTACTCGAATTTGAAACAGGGAATTGGTTTGGCTCAAAAGCTTATCTGTTGGCTCCCATTTACTGGGTCTAGGTGAGTTGAAACTGTGTTTTTTTTTGTCCCACCTTGTGGGCCCGGATATGCCTATTGTGGTTCCATGTTTTGCTCTTCTTCATGGGCTCGAGTTTACTGGCCACGGTTTCCTGTCTTGCCTTTGCTGGGCTCGGTTGGGTTGGAAATTCTTGATATAACGTTCCTTTTGTGATTTTTATTGGTAATCAAGTTTGTCATCCCAAAATTCAAGAATTTCAATATCTACCTCTATGTGGGGATGTTTGATACAAGTAGACTAACTCACTATCATGTCTCATGTGATGAAAAAGGTTTTAGTCCTAATGATCTATAAGGGCTTGTACATTCACTCTCTTATGTATATCAAAACAACAATACTTAAGGTGTCTTTCTTTTATTGTCTCTGTCCGTGAGTTTAATCTTAGGGCTGGTTTGATCGTTTTGTGGTCCCTGGCGTGAGCATCCTAGTGTCCTATTTGGTTGTTCTCTGCTGCCCCTGGCTGTGAGCCTTCACATGTAGTTCCTTTATGTTAAATGTGATTATTTTGGGACTTTTTTTCTCCTCTCTGCCCTTGATCGTGAGCCTTACTGTTGCGATTTATGTTGTGTTTGATTTGGACTTAATTTTCTTTTTATTTCCCTGGCTATAAGCTTTCTCTTGTGACTCTTTTGTGATTGAAAAATGGTTGGTTCAAGCTTAAATAACAATGATATCTTTTCTGCTGCCTCTACCCGTGGGCCTGTTCTGTGGTGGCTTTTCTCTTTTCTTGGCCTTACCCGTGAGCTTAAAGGGTAGAGGCCTTCCTCTTGCTGCCCCTACTCGTGGGCCTGTTCTGTGGTGTCTTTTCTCTTTTCTTGGTCTTACCAATGAGCTTAAAGGGTAGAGGCCTTCCTCTTGCTGCCCTTTACCCGTGAGCCTTACTGTGGAGGTTCCTTGGTCTGTGACATAGTTGGTTCGGGTTTGGCTTTCTTCTACTGCCACTGCCCGTGAGCTTTGTCCTATTTACTGTCTTAAATTGTGATTTTATGTTGAAGCTTGGTTGTGTATTTAACGATTTCTACTTGTGGGCTTGCTGTGAGGCTTGGCCGCTCTCTTTCCTGGCCTTATTCATGAGCCCCTGCTCTCTTTCCTGACCTTACCCGTGAGCCCTTGCTCTCCTTCCTGCAGTTACCCATGAGCCTGTGGAGGATTATTCAAGTTCATTTTTGTCCCGGTAGTAAGCACTTTTATATTTTCTAAATTGGTGCTACATTTATATAATTGTGGAAAGCTTCTAAAAAGGGATGGAATTAAATGGATTGGATACTAGTATGGTTTTGAGGATTTAGAAAGTTGTTCCTATGGATTATTCTCCTTATTTTGGGATTTGAAAGCCTATAAAATTGCCATTTGGAAAAGTGTTTGGAGATTTAACATTAAAGCTTGGAGAACATAAATACTATATTCGGGTTCAGGCATGGGTGTGTGAGTGCATATAAGTGATGGAGCCATGGGCACAGTCTTATGTTAATTTTGGGCCCATTTCAATCTATTTGAAACAAAAATTTGGAGATGATATCCTTCTTGGGTTGATCCAATTATATAAAATTTGAGAAAATGATATCTTCTGGATTGATTCAAGGATCTTGGACTCTCTTTTTCAAATCTTTTTGTCACAATTTTGAGGGTTGTTTCACCCTTTATCTTTTCGACATTTTGAGTGGATCAATTCCTCATCTCTCTCATCCCCATTTTTATTCTTTTTTTTCCTTGATTCTTGTTCAGTTTTCTAGGCTTATGTCTGACACATAAGCACTCATATATAACATTTTGTTATATACGAAATCATCAAGCAAGGTCGCAAGTATGTCGATTTTGTTTTGGGGCTTAGGGTGATGATGACAAAGACACGCCGGTGGTAGAGCAGAATGATATCTCATCCTACAATATCAGGACTCAATTCTGGGACTTAATGAACTGTAGAATGAAAGTATCATTTACCGACACAAGACTAGCGGGGGACTCGTACCTTCTTAGGTTGTCGGTGGACCTACGTCCGATGACGTGATCGACTCGTGGACAACTATTCATTTTTTCAAAATTGATAAAACAAGTTGATAAAAACAGATACAATATTTTTACTACAAAATTGATACAATTTTCCTTTTGTATGCTAGAAATATGTGTGCATGCTAAAATTTAAATTTTAAATGTGTTACAACTTGGTTGTCCACTTGTTGATTACCGATACTGGACTAAAGTGTACCCTCCTAAGTTAGGTTCAGTAAGGCACCCTTCGAGTTGAGTGGCGGGTTTTATACATACGAGTGACCGATAGTAGCTTTCGACGTCCTTCGAGTACAAATATATCCTTTGAGCCTAGCCCCGACCCGAGTGATAGCGATCCTCTCTTTTCAGCTTTTTCATAAGTTTTATTGGATTTTGGACAAAGCACTCGTGGTCTCTTTTTCTCTTGGGATTTTCCCATAATTTTGATGGTTTTATTTGAATTGCTATTCGTCAATTTTCCCGGGTCTTCTGTTGTGGGTTATTTGTCGATTTTCTCGAATTTTTTCAGGCAATGTTTTTCTTTTGTTTATATAGTGAATACTAGTTCGCTTATAGAAGCAGCAAGTCTCCCAGATATACATGTTCGATTTACATTACAATATTTTATTTCACAGCATGTTATATTGTTCTCCCAGCATGTTATACTGTTTTTTTTCTTTACTGTACATTATACTGTCTTTTTCTTCTATATTGCATGTTTAATTGTTTTGTTACACATTATATCTTAGTGTAAGAAAACCTAGTGATTACATATACCTATAAGATTGACATCAAACCTGAAGTTGCTACGACGAAGAACTTGGATCGAACATCGTGGACAGCATGAATAGGACATACAGAGGAACCACTTCAAGATGGATTTATAACATCAAAACACATTCATATCACCGAACACTTTCCTTAGTTTAAATAACAGTCCATAGGATTTCGAGGTGGTTTGCCTAGCGCAGCATAAACCCTCACATATCACTTTTGGGTCTTTGCACAATCCTATTATGCAATTATAAGTCCTAACACTTTAGGATCCTGAGGTTATTGTACGGTACAGTGTAAATTCTCCTATCTTTCTAGGTTATTTGCACGATCAGATATCGTGCGGATATAAGTCCTAAATTCTAAATAAATCGCAGGATTCAATATTAAATAACATTATTTCAAAAATATAAAGTCAAACAATAGGATAGTTGGGAAATCACTGGGGTTTTCCCTGAATCTGTGAAATTCCTTACTTTTCATTCCTTGGATTCCTTTAAATAACTGCTCATATTTTGAGTCACTCCCATTAAATTTTCTCATGTCCAATTTTGGAAACCTAAACTTTGAAATTTTGAAGGCAAAACCACTTATTTAAATCGAGAGTTTTCTTGAATGATCCCGATCATTTAAGATATAATTAACTATAAGTACTTGTCTCTACAGGGAACTTGGAACCCAGGTAAAATAAATTCTATCTAATCTTTATATTAGATAGGAGAACGTATTAGCCTCATATAAAATATTTTGCAGACCAAAAGGATGTCACAAATTCTTTAGATTAGGTGATTGAGCCTATTACAAGTGATATATTTATTCTTCGGGATAAGTGTATTATTTGTGGTATCGCACTCAGTCATCCAAACTATTCAAAATGTGGAACTCGTTTGGTCTCATCTATTTTAAAATTAAAATGTTACTTTCAAAGATCATATTTACATCAAAACTATTTTCATATCTTACAAAATTATTCCTTTTTCAAAACCAGAAAATTAAAACGGCCGACATGCCTACAGCAGCTAGAGTTGAATAGCCAATGCCAATCAATTCTTCCAAGGTGCCTATATAACCACAATCACCAGATATTAATTATTGAAACATCAAAGATCGAATTAATAACATTATGCCACTTACAAAAACAATAATGTGAAATGCATATACCATCCATAGTGGCATGCTTATTCTGACACTTCTAAGCAAAATTTAAAACTTCTACGCAAGAAACATGTGGAGATAGATTACTCCCTCATTAAAGAATACAGCAAATAACATGACACCAAGGCTGATTAACAAATATAAAGCATGCAACCAATTGCATTAAAAATCTAAGGATGTTAAGGAACAGCAAACATGAATGTCAGAAAAAAAAAAACACAGAATAATACTAAATGGAGTGAGAAAGAGAAAACACAGGAACTGCTCAATGAAGGATGATAGGAGGAAAAAGTCAGTAGTGGGAAGCAAAAAGATTAAAAAGAATGGTAAATGTATCCCAGTTCATGCAAATTGTGGAGAAACTACGTAAAGTACAATCCAATTATTTGCCTCAGCTCTAACAATTGGATACAGAGCACGGTCTTTTTTTTTTCTTCTTTTAAGGATGAGAGATTTTAGCATCTAACATGTATAGAAAATACAGGCCCTGAAAACCCATCAAATTGAGACATGTAATATAACTTTAAATAACTAGATATATCTTGTACAAAAAATGCAACATTGAAACTGATCAAAACAATCAATAAAAAAAGAGACAAAATCCATATTATTGTTTTACAACTCCATTTCAATAACCACTGACGTGTTTTGGACGTACAAAACCTAAAATACATTTCCACAAACAGCAGTAAAAAAAAATTTGCAAGAGCAGCTGCATTTTTTATGAGTTCCATTGCATAGATGCTGTGTTAAAGTAGATAAGGATATTAGAGCAGCATGATAGAACAGCTGTTAAAATTTCAGGAAGTTGAGACACCTTTGCTTCATGTGAAAAATAAGAGAGAATTAAAATTAAAGCAAAAGACACTGCATATATATATAGAGAGAGAGGAGGCCATTCAAGCAGTTTACCTCAAGGGAAGCACCAGAACCATAAGGAGATCGAAGTTTTCCATAATGCTGACAAGAAATTTTTAGCAACGAAAGAAGTAATTTCACCATTTTCCCCTTCTTTGGGTCCGCCACAGAAGACTCGCAATGCAATATGCTCTCATCTATCCATTTGTACACATCCTTTGTAGAAGCATTCCCACCAACAAGCGGCCCTGGACAGGAATGTTGAGATAAAGAACAGAAGTAATCACCTACAGTCTCAGCCTTCTCCTTCACAACTTCAATTAAGTTGAGAATTGAGACAGCAGCCTCTGAAGTTTCCTTCAAAAATATGCATAAACATGATGGTCAATTTGTTTGTTCTTCCAAATACTTGAAAAGAATGAAGCATTCATTGATTCAAAAAGTTTAAGGTGGAAACTATCACCTAAAACTATCACCTAAAATTAAGCCAAATAAATACGCCCTGAAACTCACCATGTTATTATAGCTCACTTTCATGCCAATAGCATTGGGATCTTTCATGACTACAAGCTTCCCACCAAATCCAAAAGTAACCAAGGCATGTGGAGGACGACCAGCAGACGATCTCCCTTCATTGCCAGTATAAGAGGTATGAGAATACAATGCACTTTGAAAATGCTGTTCATGATAGTTAACTGACTTTTCTTCAGCATAAAAGTTCTGAGAAAAATGTGACTGCAGACTTTGCTCAGCTTTGGGCGGATTAAACTGGTGCATCTGTTCAGCTGGGGAAAAATTCTGAAATCCAGTTGAGCCTGTACTATTGCTGTAAACAGTAGTTTGAACAGTATCCCAGGAATTAAAACCCGCTTTCTGAGACGGGTAATTCATTTCCTGCAACTTAGGGTCATAAAAATTCACTGCCTGTGGGTTTGCTGAAAAACTCATTTTGCTTTTATCATTGACATCAGACTGATGAATGCTATGTTGAGCAAAATTTTTAGTCAAAACATCCCAAGACTGCGCCATGTTTTGGTTGCTTTCACCTTGCATGGCATTCTGTTCCAGTGGACTAACGTCACCATAAAAACTAGAACTCCCTTCTCCAATGAAGCCGTTACTACAATTGTTCATATCTCCGCCCTGGCCTTGAAGTGAATGGGATGTCTGCTCAATGCTTTGAGTATATGAATCAAGTGTAGACCATTGCTGAGTAATTGTGTCAAAATACCAACCAGGATATTGTGGATCAAATATCATATTTGGAGGGTAACCATTGCTACCTTGAGAATAATGATTCCAACTGGATACGACACTTGTTTTGCAATCCTCAGCTACTCCTCCAATCATTAAACTTGAACTTTGTTGGGAATAAGAGACCTCTGCAGTCTGGCCTGAGATGAACCCACTACCATCTCCTAGGAGATCTTCGTTAAAACTTTCTTGCACATTTACATTGGATGTGTTGTAATTATCAGATTGGGCAGTCACTGCGTCATTATTATCTACTTGGGACCACTGCCCGGTGCTGGCATCAAACTTCCAACCCGGGTAAAGGTTTTCCCAGTATTTAGGATCATTAGCTTCGGTTGAATGTCCATTGTCGGTGCCATAAATATTGAAATCTTGTAGCTCGGTTGAAACCAGATTCATGCCAGAACTAGGAACTGCCATGTCAGTATAATTAGAGTTCAAGCCACCATTGATGTTTGTATGATTGGTGGAAGCTTCTGAATTTTCTACTAAGAAATCTGAGAAGGGTTCAAACCCGCTAAAGCTAAATTCCTGCGAATCAGAGCAGAATGCACTCCACTGCACCTCCTTGACCCCTGCACACTTCGATCCGCTACTTCGCTTCACAGATGCATCCGATGATTTAACATCTGACTTCATCTCTGAGGGACCTTCTGTCCCAGCTTCAATTGATAAAGGAGAGGATATCACATGTGTAGCCTTCTGCTCGGAAACGGTGGTCTCAGCTTCGGGAGCACCTAGAAATAGATTCGATGATTCGACATAATCCATCAACTCTGTTCCCTCTTTCGGAGCTTTGGACTGTTGACTGGTCCTTTTCCCGAGCTCATGCTCTTCAACAGATGAAACCCTAGTATCATCCGAATCCTCCAATGATATTCTTTCATCTGTTATCCCCGTCCCCAATAACGACCGGTCCATTTCGCTAGATCCTTCACGTAACCCAGTCACACCGAAATCATCCTCCACCAGTCTGTCGAAGAAATCCTCGTCCGTCTGATCCTCTACCGGAAGCGTAGCAAGAGACGCCATAAAATCGAAGAATAATAATACCTAAGCTCAGATTCCGTCCACCCTCCCCGCCTCGCACTACACGAAGGGAAAAACAGGATAAACACCCTCCGCTCAATCTCAACCCTCAAAATCCAATGAACTCAACCAAAACAAGCTGATCACTATTGCACATCCCCCAAATCCCTCCCATAACTAAAAAACCAATCTCTCAGCAGATCTCCAACTCCATCCACCTGAAATTAATCTAGGGCTTCGCAGTTTTGCTCGAATCTGAAGCATAAATCCCAAAAAATAAAAAGAGGAAGAGCGAGAAAAACTGACGATCAATCTGAGAAGGAACTTACCGACGAAAGAATTACGAGCAGAGATCAGAGGTGAGAGAACTCGGATCCAGCAAGACAATCATAAATAAGCATCAGTAAAACCCTCGATCTCGAAGCAGCCGACAATCTTCAACCCGCCGAGGGCTCCAAGATTTCTCACCTCCACCCCTCCCTTCCGCTTCCTCCGGTTTTTAACTGTCCTCTCATTTCTTTTTTATTAAATAAAACAAAAAAAAAAAAAATTACAGCAAGGGAGGGGTGGGATCAGTGAGATTGAATAGTTTAATTTAATTTATTCCAATTTTATTTTTAGTCCTGTGATTTGCATTAACCTCATTATATTCGAATATTAGGCATTTGGCCTTTAGCATTTGGCATTTGGTAAAACTGTAAATATATTTTTGTTTGGGAATAAAAATGTTATCCGTTTGGGGGCAACTTATAAATGCGCTTTTTGTTTGGGAATAAAAATGTTATCCGTTTGGGGCAACTTATAAGTGCGGGGTTTATTTATTTTGTCGGCTTATCCAAAACTGTGTTTAGATTTTTATATTAAACGCGGGCCGCGGGTCGACCCCTGCAGCCGACCCGTGGGCTGCGTTTCAGAATAAACAGTTTATCATGAAACGCAAACTGCCCCAAATGGACCCATAGTCCAAACACAAAAGTGCGTCCCGTTTCTATTTGGTGGACCCGTTTCTATTTGGTGGACGACAAGGTGTAAAATTGATCGCAATACATAATGGACGTTAATTTCAACGAAATATGTTGTTGACCTGAGGAGCATATCCAGCCGAGAGGGAGCAAAAAGTAAAAAAGTTATTTAAAAATAAACTAGGATTTACATAAATACCATTAAATTTCTATATATTTAGATGTCTAATACCTAAATTTAAATTTTAACTTATACATCACATCAACTATCGATACATGAAAAAAATAATCATTCATTTTTTAAAAATTAAAATAATTATAATTTGGTGCAAGGAAAAAATTTGAGTGATGTAAATGTAAAAAAACAAGGTTTGTGTTAAATATGTGAATATAAGGAATTAGGTGGTATGTAATAGAAATTTTAAAATTAATATTTGTATTTCTAACACCTAAACATTCATATTTATATCATTACATTCATATATGATATCGGAACAAAGGAAAGCAGTGGAAACACAAAAAAAAATGGACTTTCATTATCATTAAAATAAGATTACATCACGTCTCGAATAAGAATAACAACACAAAATATAAAACGACACAAGCAAATACTCATAAATGTATATTATTGGGTAATGGAAGTCGGCTAGAGGGATATGAATGATTTGAGGGATAACAGCAGCCATAGGAAGCGGGTGGTAGCAAAGGGGAGGTGTGAAACTGAAGGGACAGCAAGTGAGAATGGTTGTGGGTGGTCGGCAACAATCGTGTGGTGGTTAGGAGAAGCTTGACGTGGTTGGCGGGTAAGGAGAGTGAAAGAGATAGGTTGGGGGGATAAAAGGGGAAAATACAATCACAACCAAGAAAAGAGATGCAGCAGGAGCACCACCACCTTCTCACATACAGCCCACAAAGGAAAAAATATACTTCATATAAGAGATTCGAAGCAATGCTCAAATACAACAATAATCTGACTCCCACATACTCAAGGACGAAAATTTATAGTCTCCTAAAGGAAGTTTATACACAAAGGAAGAGAGTGGGAAGCCCAGAAAAATCAAGAAGACACTCCTAGGAGCAGCTAACTCATGAAGCCCTACTCGAGATTCCGTGATCCCCCCAGTCTTCGTGTGAGATATCCCGCTCTCGCAAACCCTTGGTAGACATCGCAGTCCCTCCATCCCTACTTCCGGTCTGCTTCGTGATTCCCTTCGCCCCACAGTTTGAAGCATCCGAACTTGGTGTTGTTTTAGCTCCCCTAGCCGGGTGATGTTCAGCGCCCGGTCAAGACCGAGGTGTTGTTTTAGCACCCGTGTAATACCAATCAAAGTTTTACTATCACTTCAAATTTTTCATCATTGTTGTCTTTCTTAAAATGGAGTACATCATTTTATGTATAAATATGTGAATTATATTATATGTATATAAAGTCATATTTAATATTTTATCCGTAAAAATATTTTGTGAGTTGATCATTTTTATTTCGCTTTTATAAAAATTAATTTTGTTAAATATATCTATGAAATTAAATTTATATTTTTCATTTAATATTTTTTCCTTTTTGTTTATATATTAAAATCCTGCAATTTCATGATTCAAACATAGTAAAAAGTTAAAGTTGATTTTTGAACCTTCTCTTTATAACAATTTAATCAATATTTTTAGTATCTCTTCATGTGCATGTGTCCTCATATGTACATGGTTAGATAGTTGCTTTTTAACTCGAGGCGATGGCCAACATATAAGTCAAAAATATCTTCTTAGTTATAGATGTGCTACCTCTTTCCTATGACACCACCTAGAAGTGTTATAGCCATTACACATCATGACACCTATAAAAGGTCACACCACTTGGTTCGTGATTTTATATTGGGCACGGTCTTTGTTCACTTAGGAGTATGACTCCTACATAGCAAGAGTCATACCGCTTAATGCACCCATGACATTACCTAGAATTGACATGGATATACTCATATCCACATCAAATGCATGCATGCCATATCATGCATCGTGTGTGGTTGACATTTTTATATGTATGTTTGGTTGCTTATAAGACAATGTATAAGTTCCCTTTAGAGTATCATGTACCTGATGCAGCCAAACTTGATATCATTTGTATATGTTGAATCAAATAATGTGGCATTTGTTTGTCGGTTGTGTGAGCATCATGGTTGCCTCTCGGGCAATGTATAATATTTCATATGGTGTCATGTACCCGATGCACTTGAATCTTGTGTGTCATGCGAGTGCAGCATTTTTGCATTTACACATGCACACATTTTTTTCCTGTCATTGAACACATGTCACCATATGCCTATAACGAATGGTCAGACATATATGAGATGACACATCTCGTATATCCCCAAACTCGATTGTAATCTCCTAGTATATGTAGTTATACAAATATAATCACCTTACCTAGTGTGATTGTATTTCTGTATAACAATATTTTTCTTTGTTTTTATACAATCGTTTACCTTGTACGATCATGTCAAATGAGTGAATCATATGTTCTCGTGCATATGATTGGACACGTGTGTCCACGTAACACGACACACCTGTCCGAACAATCTTTTGTCATCCAATTTGATCTTTTGCCGCCTTGATATAGCAATTTCATTGGGTTTTTAGCTTTAATCATATCCCTTGTGATCATTCACACCTCGATAGAGTGGTCACAGTATGCTAAGTCCCTTTGCATTTTGCATGTGCATTAACTTGTTAGTCTCGATGACAATTTGACCTTGTTAGATGAGTGGCCTGTTGTTGAACGTTATGTCTTAGTGAGAATTGATTGCAAGGAAATCTTAGTAGACAATATGAATTATCACATCGAGTTCACCATGCACATGTTTGTGCTAAGGTTCAAAAATGTTTAACATGCATCACTTAGGTTTTTCTTTCCTTGAGACTTCTTGATTAATAAGCATTTCATACCAATAATTTAAATAATATTCCAATAGTTTTCCTCATTAAAAATATGAATAACAAATCAATTTATTCACAAACCAAAATACTTAAACAAAAAAATAAAATCTCTTATTTATCAACTGAAGAAGGAGAAATTCTGTGTGTACGATGATGTAACTCGTATTATACCATACATTCAGTGGGATGACTACAAGACAGTATGGTGAGTTTTGCACTGTACTTCACAAATATTTTTTTCTTAAGAAGGGTCTATTCTCTCTCTCTCTCTCTCTCTCTCTCTCTCTCTCTCTCTCTCTCTCTCTCTCTCTCTCTCTCTCTCTCTCTCTCTCTCTCTCTCTCTCTCTCTCTCTCTCTCTCTCATTTAAAGATAAATGAGATAAAATCATCATTTTAAAAATAAGATCAGACCAGCTGGTTCAGGTACTAACCAACCATTCAAACTGATCAGTCAATACACAAAATCTTTTGAGTGCGAAATTAGAGATTGAGCACCCATAATTGGGGTTGAATTGACAAACCAATGAACCAATTTAATTTTAAAGAGCCAATCGATTACAATTTGGCTATTGATTTTGACTTAAAAACTAAAATTAAGATATTTTAATAAAAAATATAGAAAATATCTTGTCTCAAAATTGTAATATAGAATAGTATTCTAAATAATCGAATTTTAGCTTGTCTTAAATTAAAATAATATTCATTGAAAGGTTGTCAATAATATTATTATATTATTATTACGTTATTTAAATTATAATAAAATAGTTTTAATATCATTAATATACCCAATGGGCTTCTGTATTCTATTCTCTCCGTTGTGGGCTTAGATCAGCCATCATTTTTTTGTCCAATTGGTTAAGCACCAGGGGTGTAAAAGAATCGAACACCAGCGAGCCTAGATTCAGTGTGCTCAAAAAGTGTATTCGTGTCCGGCTCGTTTGCTTAGCGAGCCGAGCACGAGCTATTCACGAACAAGGAGATGATTTAATTTTGCTCAATTGGTTTAACAAATTTGTTTACCAATCCAACTGAGCTTAACCTAATGCACACCCTTAATCTTAATCAATAATGTCAGAAGTAGTAAGAAACTAAATTTAATTAGTTTCTTTTAATTGATTATAAATCTTTGTAGCCTTGTAGTCAATTAAATTTTTAAAAAATACTACTCATCAAAGATATATATATATAATTGATTAATAGTATTTCGAGTCAAAGCGAGCCGAACACGAACGAACAAATATTGGTTCGTGTTGTTTGTGTTCGACTCGTTAACTTAGCGAACGAGCCGAACACGAGTTATTCGCGAACAATGAGCTGTTTTGACAATCCTAAACACCAAATGTGGAGTTAAATGATAAAAAAAATTATAGTAACAAAAATATATATAATAATAGTAATAATAATAATTATTATTATGATTATAATTATAAAGTTTTATTTTTATCCTTAATAAAGTTATGGTGAGGTGGCAACATTTAATTTCATTTAAAGGTAGTGTTGCATGTGCATGTACCAAGTGAATGAAATTATGATCGTTGATTAATGAGTCCTATAATTAATAATTATTAAAAAAAAACCTTAAAAAAAATAAATAGCAAAATCTATAAATTGTAGAAGCGTGTCAATCGAATGGACCCCACACGCTTTAGTGCTTCTAATGAAAATAACTAATTATATATTTTACCTTATTTAATAATGATAGTATTGTGTATTTGTTATGCCCATTAAACTGTCGATTAATTAAATAATTTAAATTTAGAAAAAAATTGTTAATATAAATATAGATTATAAATTAGACGAATTTGTGAGAAATAAATAATCTATTTAAATATTATTTTTAAAAAAAGTATTTTCTAAAATAAAGTCTGTCAACTCCAAATTTTATCTATATTTATATCTAGCACCTAAATAAATTTTAGGTCTTATAGGCACATAAAATAGTGATATTTTTTATGTGATATAAGAAAATATAGGTGATATAAATGTAAAAAATAAAATTTAATAGTAGATGTCATAAATATTTTATTTAGCAGAATATTATCTCAGGCGCATTAATGGGCCCGATAATAATATCATAAATATTTTATGAAATATGTTAAATCATATAAATTGATTTTCAACTATCTTTTCATTTAATAAATTCGACAATTATTGGCCTATTCATAAGGAGTCTATATTATTTGCGGCTCCCAAGTGAGTCCTCTGAAACCTTCAAATGATCGTGCAAAATGAATGATATTTGATGAGCTCTTGATTGGGGGAGTGAGAGCTGATGTAGATAACTTAACATGAGGAAGATTTTATTATAAAATGTGAGGGCATAAGTTTAGTCCCACATCTAAGGTTTGAAATATTATTGATGCAAAAAATTATGTGATGGACAATCACATTTGCTAACTTACTGTCTAGAGGGTTTAGAAAGCCCTTCCATTATGACTGTATGATAGATATAAGTGAACGGCTTTGATTGAACCTTTGGAAGATTGTCTGAAATATATCATATATAATGTGCTTTAGGTTCGGGGGATTGAAGATTACTGTAGATAACTTTAAACACGAGGAAGATTTTGTTATGAAACATTGGAGCATAATTGTATTCTATCACAAGAAAATCGATCAAAGTGAAATTAAAATTTTTGCACACTTCGTATCACGCGGGCGTGAACGGTGGCTTGTAACATTTTATGTTCTTCTTGGCTAATATGATGAAAGAAATAATAAAAAATGCATGCATGCCAATAAATTGTAAAAATGAAAAGAATTTCATTACAAGGATCAACACACACACACTTTGGCTCTCTATGTATGTATATAATATCAATCAAGTGTAACATTACTATTAAAAATTTGTACAATATAATTCAAATAAAGATGCATTATAAATGAATATTCATGAATTTTCTAAGATTTTAACCTGCCAAACAGCAACTTTATGCATCACCGAATCTTACACTTAAATAGCAAGAAGCTACCTATGTGCTCATGTGGACACATGCTTCTGTTTTAATCTTAGAACAATAAGCGGGCCCACCTGCAAGAAGCAACCGTAACTTTTAATCCAATGCCGCCCGAATCATCAACTTCCTTACTGAAGCGGCATACTACGGGCCAGCCCACAGCCCATATTGCAATGGCCCACAACTTACAGGCCGAAATATAATTTCTTGAAAATTAAGAAACTCAATCGAAAAAATAAAAATAATATTTCTGAAGAAATACATCACATCACTTGCATCCCGGAATTCCAAGTTTCCGAACCTCTCCACCCACTCAGAATTTTCCGCACCTGTTAGTTGGATCAGCATTGAGCAACCCTGTTTTTCCCATCAATGGACCATTTTCCCCTGAGGACCCTACTAGAGATTTGATTATACGATTACTATGATGTGTACTATTGTGTATATGTGTGTTCACTGATTGTAATCTGCAAAATATTTCTTTGTCATTAAAAATATATATTTTTCATGTTAAATACACATGATGTCATCTTGGGGTATAACTAAAAGTCTACTCTCATAGTGTTTTCACCCATGTTTGCAGGGCTTCTAGAAAGAGTTTCATGTTAAATACACATGATGTCATCTTGGGGTATCACTAAAAGTCTACTCTCATAGTGTTTTCACCTATGTTTGCAGGGCTTCTAGAAAGAGCAATGCCACACGTAGATATATATATATATATATATATATATATATAAAAAGTCTGACTCAAATTTATTTGTGAATCATACTAGAAAATAAGTTTGAAGAGGCAAATGAGAACAAAGAGAAGGAAAAGAGAGACAAATTTATGATTTATATTTATTGTTCCTTTATTTATAAAGACCCAAAATAACTGTAAAATTACAAACACATCCTTAACATTTATATGTCTTTAGTAGGCCTTTGATCGGGTATGCCACTTGGCTTTGTGTGTCAATAGAGTTTTGCATGATTAGTTACTAAGTCATTCGATTGTTTAAGTTAATTGTCTCTCATGAGTTGACTGCCGCTCCTATGGATTACAGGTCGATCAACCATCTTATTTGTTTTTAGTTAGTTTCTTCTTATATTGGATATTTCGACATTTTTTGCATGAGTCGTATCACGAGATTTTATAAGACCATACACATTTTACTGGTATAATATTTGTATATAATTATTTGGTGCTTATATATAAATATATATATTTATAAAATTGCCTACTGTATTAAAAAGAAAAGTAATAATAAAAGAGCTGATAAAAAAAATGGAGCCCACAGCGCCGAAAGAGGATGCCATGAGGGCAGATCATGCCTGGATTTGGTTGTTTCGGGTTATTACGGCCCGGCCCGAACCGGCCCAAACTCCAGTCGGAGATGGCCCGGTCGAACTGAAACTGAAAAGCCGCGGTTTCACGGCATGTTCTCGTCACAACCCGCTAAAAAAGCTCAAAACTTAAACAAATACAAAATAAAAGGACTTTAATGTTTTTTATGATTTAAAAAATGACAACTACGGGTTGGATAGGTAGTAGATCCATCAGAAGCGTCCATTAGATATCAGACGTACCACCGTGCACGCCCACGTGATACGAAGTACCACGATCCATGAAACTAACGGCTGGGATTAACTGGAAGCGAATGAACGGTGATGATCGCCGACTGCTACGTGCTAATGTCACTGTAATTAAACTCTCAAAGAGCTGAATTAGCGCCGCAATTAATATAGGATAGCTACGCTCCAACGGGAGCCTGGAAGTGGGAAAGATGGGCGAAGAAGAAGGGGTGGGGAAACTGGCAAAAGCGGCGAAGAACAAGTACTAGCAGTGACAGTGAAGCTCATGAAACTGTGAAATCATGAAAGCAATGAAGAAATGCTCGAAAGATTCAATTTTTATGCTTTTAAATAGAAAACTAAGCAATTAATTAAGGTCTGCGAAGCAGAACGCCAGATTTTTTTAAAGATTTTTATTTAATACATCCTATAGCTGTTCCAACAGGTTCAGTGGGCAAAGGTAACTTAAGAACCCAAAAACGATTCTATAATAAAAAAGTGAACTTGAAGACAACCAAAATAAAAAAAAAAAAAAAGAAATTGTAACCGATGACATCCAAGCAGAGTGAGTAGAAGCTTTGGATACACACAAACTAACAAAATCAGCAGCTTTCCAGATGAATTCTTTTCAGAACGATTTCATTGTTTTCAGAGTCAGTTACAGTTATGGATTCTTACCTCGAGAAAGGCGAACGGAATCGGTTACTTCTGTTCAAACAGGACTGGAAGTCATGAACCCTGCTTCGGAGATGGCGGAGAGCTCTGCAACATCATCCAATGGTGCGGGGAGGTTGAGATCGAATAAGCTTTCGTTAAGCTTAGCAACGGGCGGCGGTGATATGATGGTAATATTTGCAGTCGAGGACAAAAGATGAGATCTTTTGTGCCCTCCGAGAGCTTGCCCGCTGTCGAACTCTCGGAAGCAGATTGGGCAAACATGAACGCTTTTACCCTCGCCGTCGGCAATGGCTTCCGTCGATCCTTCAATATTGGCCGGCGGGAAGCAGCTCCGTGACTTCTTGTGGCTCGCGCGGTGCCCGCCAAGAGCTTGATACGATCGGAATACCTTCTTGCAAGTGCCACACTGGAATCTGCTTCGCCCCTTCGCTGGCGAACTCTTCGTCTTTAAGTTGACCATCGTTACAAGCTCTCTTCCTTCTTCGTCTTCCTCATCCTTACTCCAAACGTCACGAGACAGCAACATTAGACTGATGGCAACGTCCTCCTCTGGCGTCGTATCGGAGACAGAGCTAAGCTGTTCAGCTTCCGGAAGCTCTGGAGCAGGCCGCTTGTTACGTCGACGATTGATTGTGATCGGGGAGGACTCCGTTTCGCTTTCTCGGTCTTGAACGACGGAAGAGGAGAACTCCGGATCCACCATGCGGAAGCTTTTTTTAGGATTCTCTCGAAGACCGTAAGAGAGCCCTTTGCCCTCCTCTGCTTCGTGAGAAGAGGTTGAGGAAGATGAGTAGTCAGAAAGGAGGGATTTCGCCGAAGCGGCAGCTGCGACTGCGACGGCGTGAGAACGCATGTGACCCCCTAACGCTCTGCCATTGGAAAAGCTTCGACTACAGAGCTTGCAAGCGTGCTTCTCCATGGATAAGAAGCAGAGAGAGAGAGAGAGAGAGAGCGAGAGAAGATTAATCTAATTATGTTTCTTCTCCCTCTACTCCATTCCAGAATTGCTTTGCCGATCGTTCTTCTTCTTCACTCAAAGAGGGGGAGAGCGAGAGCGAGTGGGAACTAAGAGGAGTACGTGACAAGCATCCTCCCACCAAAAGAAACCCACAAACAAGTATAGAGCCGTGGTGCTTCTACAGAACTAGGCAACTAAAGATAGAGAGAGGAGCGCAAGGCCTGTCGATGGAAAAGGAGTATATTTTTATTTAATTTTTCGTTTTTCCGCCTACATATTAAAGAATTTGGCATTCCTATTTTTTAAATTAGAAAAAAAATCGGAATGTTTTTAAAACGCTTAATTCCCAAAGTCATGCATAGTCTTCATGTATTGATTTAATTTGTTTGCCTCTTCTTCGCTTATGGTGCGTCTTAATGGCATTAATTGCAGAAGGGATTTGGCGATTTGCTCAGACCATGTTATACTTTTAACCAAATATTGTAAATTTGTGGTTCCCGATTCTTTATTTCCTAAGTAATTATTTACATTTATGTCCTTCAGGGTGGATTTTGTGTTTTCTGTTTTTACGGAGGGGCTCGACGGAAAAAATCAAGGAAAACTGCTAGGTCTGGTTTCGGTACAATCATTAAATTATCAATTCAACTGTAATTATCTTAATTATAAATTTAATTAATAAATAATTAAAATCATGATCGTTACTTCGGAAGCCATTGTCTCTAAATAAACTAACTGATGTTTCTATTAATTGCAATATTTATGAGATAATATATATTTTTATTTATTTAAGGGTACCTTTTTTCTTATATTAGTAAAAGTAAATAAGAAAACTAAATATAAATTTAGTGGCGAAAAAACAGAAAATATAACTAACCTCCTACAGCTCAGGTAAAGGCCACTTTTTTCGGAGGCGGCCACGAGGCCCACGACCGATTCGCGGAACTAGCCTCAACCCGGTGGGGGCCCACGTGTCACACACGCGGAGCTGGTGGACTCGCACGTGAGTCGATGGGAAAAATCTAAACCATTCGATGCATCAAAACGGCCTGCACGAATCTTCATGAGATATTTGATGTTGTGAAAATGTCCTGCGCGCACATAATCGGAACTAGTCCACGGTGGAGACCAACGTTGACCGTCGATTTGGCCAAAGTAAACCGGCGCGGAAACTTGGGACTGGCCGAACGGCCAGGATGCAAAGAATGGGAGGATCACCTATCGGTCGAGTCTTGTTCATTTATTTACATTAATACCCTTGGTTGACGTGTAGTTTGACTCCATTAATTTTGGCATTTAGCTTCTAATTTCCAAGGAGCAAATCAAATTTCTACGTAATTGGAAGCGAGCGGGGAAATTTTCATTATTCTTTATTTTATTTTCAATTAATATGTTATAATTTGAGCACAACTTTTTTATTTTATTTTTATAATATATTTATTTTTGTTGCATGCTAGAATATTTGTGAATTAGAGTGAGGTATTAAAATCTTAACATTACATGAAGATTCAACACTCAGATAAAAAAAAACAAAGAATTGGAAGAAGAGATAAAAATTTTATTTTGAAAGCACTAAAAAGAAAAAAAGAAACATGGAATAACTCAATTACAGTAATCCATTTTGCTTAATTCGAGATTATATGGGTAACACCCAAGGCATATAATGTGAATAAGGTGTCTGTGTTGTTGGTGTGGAGCCCGTTCAATGAAAACGGAAAAAAAAATAAAAGATAAAAATAAAATTAGTAAAATTTCTTGTTTTTCTTGTCCTTCGGTGTATCTCGGTATAGATAGAGAAGAAGAGAGAGTGAGAACTTGAGAGAGTTTCTGCTGTAATTATCGACGTGATCAAACGGTGTAAATTCCTCAATTAGTAGAATTTCCTGCAACTTTGTTGATGTAAACAATTTGTCGAATCACGTAAATCCGTGTTCTTTTGGTGTGAATTTTTCTCGTTTTATTTTTCACTTCGTCGTCGATCGTTTTAAATTTCATTTATACCATAACAACTGGTATCAGAACCAATGATTGTGATTTTTCACTTCGTCGTCGATCGTTTTAAATTTCATCTATACCATAACAACTTGTATCAGAACCAATGATTGCAGATGAAGTAAATGTTTCAGGGATCGAGAAGTTCAATGGCATAGATTTTGGTTACTGGATGATGCAGATAGAGGATTACCTATATGGGAAGAAGCTCCATCTTCCGTTATTGGGGAAAAGACCTGAACGAATGGATGAGGCTGAATGGAATATGTTAGATCAACAAGCTCTTGGACTTATTCGAATGACCATGTCGAGGTCCGTTGCACAAAACATCGTCAAGGAAAGGACGACTGATTCGAATGACCATGTCGAGGTCCGTTGCACAAAACGTCGTCAAGGAAAGGATGACTACGTATCTTATGACAGCTCTATCAGGTATGTATGTAAAGCCATCGAAGAATAACAAAGTATATCTGATCAAAAAGTTATTTACAGAAGGTACGTCTGTTGTAGAACACCTGAATGATTTCAATGCTATCACAAATCAATTATCGTCTGTGAAAATTGAATTTGATGATGAGATACGTGCACTGATCTTGTTGGCTTCATTGTCAAATAGCTGGGAAGCTATGAGGATGGCTGTCAGTAATTTTGCAGGTAAATCAAAATTGAAATTTGAAGATACTCGTGATTTAATTTTGGCTGAGAAGGTGCGCAGGAAAGATTCTTACGAGATATAAGGTTTGAGTTCGACAGGTTCGAGTTCGACATTAAATATTGATTCCAGAGGGAGATCACATGACAAAAACTCAAACATGAGAAGATCAAAATTAAAGAACAGAAGCTGGAGCAAGTCAAGGTTTGGTAAACAAGTAACTTGCTGGAATTGTGGCAAAACTAGCCACATATA